TGTGGTGACTGAGGCAGAGGATTGATTCATCCCTAAGTAGCAGAATCTGTAAAAATCACATGTATGCATTTGGGTTAGGAATGTGCTTTTGTACTTCTACCTGAATAAAGGTGCATTCAACTCTCTTAGACTCTTGTTTTGAACCGAGCCTAGTGGCTCTGGCCAGAAGCAGTGGGCAACTTGGAATTCCTCACCTTCCTGCCTGCAGACTCCTCTGTGAGACTCACTCATAAGAAGTGAGTCTCCATAGAGACCAGCGGAGACATCAGATCTCTGAAACTGGAATTATAGATAATTTTGGGCCACATGATGGGTGGTGAGAATCAAAATCTTGCTCTCTGCAATAGCAGCATATGTTTTTAAGCACAGAACCAGCTCTTTAGCACCTGGAGTGAGTGTTGATCCAGTTGGGATGCTTCAGGACATAAAATACAAGCAAGCAATTTGTGATTACTAAGAATGTTTTGGTAGATAAAGCAAATTTTAAAAGAATGCCAAAATAGTTCTTGAAGTAACTTGTCTGTTCAAGTAGACATTTAATTGGTATAATGACAGTATGAGTTTCTATTAAGTCTTTGGTCTTAGGGGAGGGAGAGAAGAAATCCTAGCTGGACACTTGACTCATTTTTTTTCATTTACTGCATGTACACTCTTATATACACATTCAAGCTTGATTTTCACCACAGTTGTGCAAGAGAGCTGGGCTGTTACAGATTCACTGAAGTGCAAAGAGATTGAAGATCTTAGGGTCTCCCAGCAAGTTAATGTCTCATGGTGTGATATGGCTGACTTTCAGGGCACAGGGTTTTCTTGGAAGTTCTGCCTATGGTATCCCTAGTGATTCAATATTGTTAGCTCCAGCTGATACAAAGGCTTCCAGAGCTTATGTGAGAAGAGAGTATCTTAAGTAATTTTTAAAGAAAGTAGTTGGTAGACTTAGGATAATCTTGACACAATGGATCACCAGTCATTCCCCCCCCCCCAAACACACAATTCCCTTTCTCCTGCCCAAACGTCCCGGCCCCATTAGCATTTTCTCTTGTTCATTTCTCAGCTTTTCAAATTTGTTCTTAGCTTTTTTTTTTCTGTTAGCCAAAACTAGCTGATGGACATAGAACTCTTGACCTGGAGCAAAATAGGTAAGCAAGCTTGATTCCCTGCACATGAAAGAAAGACTTGTAGGGAGCCATGGAAGAGTGTTGAATGAAAAGGGTAGAATGTCCAAAGCTTATAAATGAATGTCTTGGTTAGTGTTCTGTCACTGAAGAGACACCATGACCAAGGCAACTAATTTAGAGAAGGAAGCATTTAATTAGAGGCTTGCTTACGTTTTCAGAGGGTGATTCTATGATCTTCATGGTGGGGAATGTGGCTGCAGGTGGGCCAGACCTGGTGTTAGAGCAGTGGCTGAGACCTTTTATCCTGATCTACAGGCAGGAGGCAGTGGAATTGAGCTAATTTAAATGTCATGGGCTATTGAAACCTCAAAGCCTGCCCCCAGTGAGACATCTCCTTTAAAACTGTCTCAGCTAATCCTTCCTAAACCAAACATTCAAATAAATAAGCTCTATGGAGCCATTCTCATTCAAACCACCACAATGAGAATGAACTTTTCTTAAAAAGATAAAGTCTCTGGGAGGCTGGAGAGATCACTCAGTGGTTAGCGCACTTGGGTGTTCTTGAGGTCCTGAGTTCAATTCCCAGCAACAATGTGGTGGCTCCCAACTATCTGTAATGGGATCCGATTCCCTCTTTTGGTGTGCACGAAGACATACATGAGTAAAAATACATGAGTAAATAAGTTTAAGAAAAAAAAAACACCACAAGATTTCACTATACTCTCCTGACTGGCCTGGAACTCTGACATACCCACCTTCCTGTCTCCCAAGTGGTGGGATTAAAGGCAGAATTCTTTTGTGTTATGTGCTGTTGAGTATTTTGCTTGCATGATGTCTGTGCATCATGTGATGCAATGCTTGTGGAGGCCAGAAGAGGGTGTGTGAAGCCTTTTAAACTGTAGTTGAGTCAATTGTGAGCTGCCATGTGGGTGTTGGGAATTGAACTTCCTCTGGGAAGGCAGCAAATGCTCTTGTTACAAACTTTTAAAGTTTATTTTAAAATATATTGTTTATTCCTTGAGAATTTCATACATGTATACAATGTTTTGACAACAGGACCATTTTGTAAGGTAGCAGTAACAGATTCTTGGGCCTACGATCCTCCCTGCTGTGACCAGGTTTCAGTAGTAGGTATGAATTCATGTGAAGTAGCCTCAAATCCAACCTGAAAGTGGCAAGAGTGTGGCATTTGAAGGTGCTGAATAAGGGAATTCTATAGAGGGGGAAAAAATCCAAGGAAGTAGATGTGAACAACTGAACGCACCGAGTCTCCATACGGCATTGAATCCAGGCTTCTTTAGGCAAATACTCTGCCCTTGTTACATTTCCAACCCCACCTAGGTTTATGGAAGGTAAAAGGATGCCCTAGATAGTCACTTCAGCAAAGTGTAGTGACATTCCTACATCTGAAAATATGGCTCCATCCATCCATCCATCTTATCTAGTTGCCTGGTATATAACATCAGTGCTAGCCAATGTGGGCAGTTAACCTAATCAAGTGAATTAATCCATGGAATAAAGAGAACTGCAGGTTATTAATGCAGTGCTTTGGAAGTAGACGTACATGGGCTTAGCTCAACTCTATTAAAGTGTCACTTTTGAGATTTTTATATAACTTGCCTGTGCAATAAAAGTACAGTGAAAGATAAATGTAAAGGGTACCAGCCACATAGTAAGAGCTCAAAAAGTTCATGGGGGCCAGTAAGATGGATGCCTGCTGCCAAGTCTGATGACCCTAGTTCCCTCCCTAGACCCCACATTCTTGCTGTGCACAGGAATACCCAAGTACAATTTTTTAAAAAGTAATTCTTTTTTTTTTAAAGAGGAGGGAGGGGGCTTGGGAGATGGCTCAGTGTATTAAGGGCACTTGCGGTTCTTCCAGAGAACTCAGGCTCAGTTCCCAGCACTCACACGGTGGCTCACGACTGCTGGGTATCTGATGCCCTCTCCTGACCTCCATGAGCACTGCAAACATGTGGTGCACAGACGTACCTGCTGGCAAAACACCTCACATATAAAATGTTTTTAAAATTTAAATCTTTTTTGTTGTTTGTTTGTTTTTGCTTTTCCTAGACAGGGTCTCACTATGCAGCTCTGGCTGTCCTTGGAACTCACTCTGTAGACCAGGCTGGCCTTGAGCTCCCAGAGATCCACCTGCCTCTGCCTCCCAAGTGCTGGGATTAAAGGTGTGTGCCACCAGACAAGCCAGGACCTGAGTTTAATCCCAGCACCCGTGTGTCAGGTGGCTCACAACTTTAGGCTAACTCCAGCTCTGGGGGATTTGACAGTCTGTGGGTACCTGCATGCATGTAAGTACACGTACACGTGTACACACACACACACACACACACACTCACACGAATATATTTTAAAACCTCCATAAATTGGGCCAGCAGGATGGTTCAGTGTAAAGACGCTTGCTGCAAAAGCCTGATGGCCTAATTTCTAACCCCAGAACCCACAGAAAGGTGTAAAAGAACCACCCTCACCAAGGTGTCCTCTGGTCTCAGCATGTCTGTTGTGGTATATTTGCTCTCCACACACATAAGTAAAATATAAAATTAAATTCCCCCAAAGTTAATATAAACACAGGTATGAAGACCAATTCACAGAAGTTTAAAAAAAAATGAATGAACATTTAGCTGTGAAAACTTGAATTGTCTAGGGGATGGAGATCCTGAATTTGGAGACCTAACTAAAGAATTGTAGGAACTGTTTCCTGTTGGAGTCACCAAACTGGCATCTGTCTCAACGTTTATGTCCTCCCTTGAGAATAAGAGCCAATGATTAATCTGAGACTACAATAGCTTTTAAAATGAACAAAACAAAAACAAAAATAACGAGCACCGGAATTTGATTTGCTGATGTTTCCCTTCACTCTTCACTTGGAAAGGATGAGTCCTTTATGTTTCACCCACGATTGTAAACTGACAACGAGGTGTGAAGTCTGAGCTGCTTTTTCTGCTAGCGTTACAAATCCGCAGTCTCCCACTGCCCTTCATTAGTCTAGTTAGATGCCTGGGCTCTGGTTTGAGGTGCAGGCTGCAACCCCTGCCTTTGTGTGCTGCTTTGTGCCTGGCATGCAGTAGAGTAAAAGGGGCACGTGGGGATTAGTGGCCGGTCAGCCTAAGTGTCCCACAAATGGCAGCCGCTGTTTCTGCATAAAATATCAATATGAACAATTCACCTTTCCCCTCCCCTGCTTCATCACTAACAAGTAGGATTTCTGGTTTGCTCTAGGGCCTTTTTTCCTATTTCACTCAATGGAACTCCTGCAGGCCTTGGGAGGGGCTGGGTGAAGAACAACTGGATGGAATTCAGCCTGCAGGGGTCAGCTTGTCTTTGTGCTGGCCTAGGTAGATGACTACCAAGCTGAGGAATTTAGGGGAGGACTGCTGGGCGCATTTGAGGCCATGACAAAGAAGAAGCCTACTGCAAACCAGACTCCAGGCCCAGTGAAGTGAAGATGAGCGGGTGTAGAAGTCCATGGGTGATGACCTCGAACATCCAAAACATCCCATTCTGGACCCAGCACCTTGACAACCCTCCATTGAGTTAGACCTCTGAGGCGCCTAGATGGAACCCAGGAGTGCAAGCAGATTTGTCACATGCTCACTGGCCCAGGTCCTGACAGTGAGGGAGGCTGAGCATTGTCTGCCAGGCGCTGGGTAAGATGAGACAGTGAGTGCTGGGTCTGAGCAGTGCTTGCCCTGAGGGAGGACTCCTGGAGGCAGGGGGTGGGGCCTCCACCACCCTGTCCTGTCTCTTGGTTGCTGGTGTCTGGTCCTGTTTGGTGTATCCCACTGGGAGGAAGCAAAGATGTTATTGTTGTTGTTTCTTTTTTGACAAAGAGCTTTCGACAGCCCCTTGGGGAGTGGGTGGGGAGCAACCCTCCCCCCAGGATTCCCCCTACCCACCTTTACACAGTTTTCTGAAGTGACTGCACACCCATTGTGTGTGTGTGTGTGTGTGTTTAATTTGAGACAGGGTCTTACTGTGCAGACAACAGTGGCCTGGAATTTGCTTTGTAACTCAGGACAGCCAGAAACTCGTGAAACTCCTACCTTGGCTCCTGACTCCTGGCTTTCTTAAGTGTACACAGGCCATAGCCAGTTCTTCTTCTTCTTTTTTTTTAATTTAAAAGTTTTTTTTATTCATTTTACATACCAACCACAGATTCCCCTCTCATCCCTCCTCCCCCTCCTCAGACCCACTCATCCTCCCTTAATCCAAAAGGGTAAGTCCTCTCATGGAGGAATAGCAAAGTTTGGTACATTCAGTTGAGGCAGAACCAATACCGCCCCCCAAGGCATACCCAGCTCTTGAGCTTTGTTTTGAAGAGTTTTTAGAGGAGATCTAGGCTTTGGATCAGTATCTTTGAAGCTGGGTCCAGCCCATGGAGAGCCTCGTGAATGATGTCATCCCAGTCTATGTGTCCACCCTCAGAGTGGGAGCCTCACCAGACCGAAGATGAGAAGCTGACCCGACTGTTTTATCTTTGTGGTATAGTTATCTGCTCTTCCATCCAGGGGAGATTTCACCCACACTCCCAAGCTCCACAATTCAGATTATAGCAGACCTTTATCACAGACCTTTAGTGAACTGCTGTACCTCTGGTGTTTGTGAGAGCAAATCTTGGTACAGTTTATGGGTTTAACCACTATTCCCTTATAGAAACAACTTCACAAACACATCCAGAGGTGACAGTGTACTGACTATCTGGGCATCCCCTAGTCCAGTGAGGATAACACATGAAATTAGCAGTCACATTTTCCTAAAGACAAGTACATATTTATTTCGTGTTTAGGTGGGGGAAAAACATGGAAAACAACTTTTTAGGTCATGCTGGCTTTGAACACAGAGATCAGCATCTGCCTCTCGAGTGCCGGGTCATGCACCACTACACCTAGTGTTTCTTATTTAATTTTCAAGATTTGACGTCAGAGAAAGCTGCGGTTTGAATCAGACTCACAAAAATCGCATCCTAACCTGAGACCAAGTTTCACTTCCATGTAATTGTCAAGAAAAAAGCATTTGAACAGGGTCCCATATAACTGATTAAAATCAGTTTTTCAAGCCTCCTCTCATTTTTGAGTACTTGCTGTAAATATTTTAGTCATTAAGGGAGGTTGTAGGTCTGGAGACAGCTCAGTTGTTAGAGTGCTGGCCTCTTCAGGAGAGATGCTGAATTCGATCCCAGCACAGCATAAACTGCATGATGGTTCAGGCCTGCGATCCCAGCACTAGGAAGGTAAAGAGAGGCAAGAGGACCAGAAATTCAGGGTCAGTCTTGGATACATAGCGGGTTCAAAGCCAGCCTGGGCTACATGAGACCTTGTCTTAAAACTAAAAGCAGCACTGGCCAGATGGTTCAGTGGGTAAAGACACTTGCTGCCAAGGCTGAAAACCTGTGTTCCATCCCTGAGACCCTGTGGTGGAGGGAAAAAATTAAACTTCCCCAGACTGTCCTCTGACCTCCCCATGAGTGCCGTGGCAGTTGTGTGCATGCACTCACACACATGACATACACGCTTCATACACTCACACACATTTTTTAAAAAATCAGATCTGAGGCTAGGGAGAGGGTTCAGTGGGTAAAGTGCTTGCTGCTGAAGTCTGAGGACCTGCTCAGGCCTGATCCTCACCACCCGTGTGAAAACCAGGTGCAGTGATGCACCTGGAGCTCACTGCTCAGCCACTCCGGCAGAAATGCTGAGCTCCATGTTCAGTGAGAGGCTTTGTCTCAAAAAATAAGATGGAGCCAGGTGTGGTGGTGCACACACACCTTTAATCCCAGTGCTGAGAAGGCAGACCCAGGTGAAACGCTTGTTTTTGGCCAGCCTGGTCTCCATGATGGTCACCATTCTGTTCAAATGGTGCTGATGCTGATCATCATCATCAAGGAAGACACTGCATGGGTGCATGCACTCCCTCCCACATGTGCACACACATGGCATGCAAACACCACACACAAACACCCGGATTAAATCAATAAAGAAGAGAAGACCATCCCACTTATTCTGCCCTGCGTCTGTGGTTTGAAGTCCTGGCTTCTTAGGTGATCCTAGTTCCCTGCTCACTGGAGTGTAGCTCACTTATGCCACCTGGGTCATAGCTAATCTCCTTGGTCAGAGTGGAATGAAATGTGTGACCCCAGCTGAGCAAATCAGAATGTTTCCCTGAGATATTCTGAAGGGTGTAGGAGTAAGGAAGAAATTCTTTTCCTTAGAGTGGCTTAGTGTTAGGGCATGAGTCTGGAGGCTTATGACATTCAGGGAGTGGAGGCCCAAAAGTAGGTAGAGAACCCTTCTGGGCTCTGTGGGGAGAGATGTGCATAGGTCTCTGTGGCCTGGCTCCCCTCAGCCATGTCAGTGAGGCACCCCATTGCCTGTCCACTCCCAAACTGAGTCTGATGCACTGCTGAGTCCTGCCATGTGCTTCTGACACACAGATCATCCCATCGATTATGGTCCATCACACCACCTCTTCTTATTGGTCTTTAAATGTGACCTGACTGGTGGGGATGGGGAGGCGCCCATCCAGATTCTGCCTCAATTTTTGTTTTTTAAAAGATTATTATTTTAAATTATGTATAACTGAGTATGTGCATGTAAGTGAAGGTACATATGGAGGCCTGAGACATCAGATCCTCTTGGAGATGGAGTTATAGGCAATTGTGAGCTGTCTGTCATGAGGGCTTGGAATCCAACTCTCAGGATCTCTGCAAGTAGATTAAGCTGTCTTTCTAGTCCTGTCGCTTATTTTTTTGAAATGGGATCTCATATAGTCCAGGTTGGCCTAAAACTATGTAGCAGTAGGTGACCTTGAATGTCTGATCCTTCTGTCTTTACCTCCTGAAGATTAGTGTATTTGCAGCCTTGCTTGGTTTATAAGTTGCTAGGGATTGAACCCAGGGCCCTATACATACCAGGTAAGCCTTTTTCCAACTGAGCTCCAACTTGAGCTCTGTGATCCTGGCACTTTAAAATCATATGCGTTATACTGGGTGTGGTGGTGCATGCCTTTGGTCCAAGCACTCAAGAGATAGAGACAGATGGGTCTCTGTGAGTTCAAGTCCAGTGCAGTCTACATAGTGAGTTCCAGGCCCTCCTCGGCTATAGAGAAAACCTTGTCACAAAAAGAAAAAAAAAAAACACTCAAAACTTTATGAGCTACTTATAGAGACTGCAGTGGTTTGAATAAGAATGGTCCCCATGGGTTCATGTATTTGAATGCTTAGTTGCTAGGAAGTGGCACTATTTGAAAGGATTAGAAGGATTGGGAGGTGTGGCCTTGTTGGAGGAAGTGTGTCACTGGGTTTGAAGTTTGAGGTTTTAAAATGCCACATCAGGTCTAGGCTCACTTTCTCTTTCTGTGGATCAGGATGTAGCTCTCCACTACTTCTCCAGCACCATGCTTGCCATGTTCCCTATAGTGTTGATAAAGAACTAAGTCTCTGAAACTGAAAGGAAGCCCCCGATTAAATAAATGCTTTAAAAAAATTGTCTTGTCATGGTGTCTATTCACACCAATAGAACAATTATTAAGGCAGAGATGAGCAAAATCATGTTCTATGCAAGAAAATGGATGGAACTGGAGAGCATTTGATACAAAATAATCCAGATTCCAGAAGAGGGGTATGAAGTTGTTTCTCTGATCTGTGGGAAAGAGATGTGAAGAAAAGACAACATGAACATAGAAGAGAGTATTTGGGTAGTTCTGGAACCAATAGAAGGGAGGAAGGAGGCAGTAGCTGGCCAGTGGTTGTACATGCTTTTAATCCCAGCACTTTGGCAGAAGCAGATGGATCTTAGTGGGTTTGAGGCCAGCCTGGTCTATAGAGCAAGTTCCAGGACAGCCAGGGATACACACAGAAACCCTGATTCAAACAAATAAGAAAAAGAAAACAAAACAACAACAAAAAAGAGAGTGACATAAAGCAAGAATTGTCCAAGTACATTGTACACATGTATGAGAATGTCATAAGGAGACCCATTTTACACAGTTAATATGCACTAACAAAAAACACTGGTCTGGCAAGATGGTTCAATGGATAAAGACACTTGCTGCCAGGCCTGACAACCTTAGTTTGATCCCTGGAACCCACACTGTGGAAGGAGAGAATCAAATTCTGTAAGTTGTCCTCCGCATGTGCTTCCTAACATCACACACACACACACACACACACACACACACACACACACACACACTCACATACAGTTGTATACACGTACACTCTTTGTGTCTCTGTCTCTCTCTGTTTCTCTCTCTGTCTCTGTCTCTGTCTCTGTCTCTGTCTCTCTCTCTCTCTCTCACACACACACACACACACACACATGTACACACACAATGTAAGAATTTTAAAAAGCAAAGAATATGGGTTGGACCTGTTAGCTCAAGCCTGTAATCCCATTTAGTTGGGAAGCAGAAGTAGGAGGGTCCCAAGTTCAGAGTTTGCCTGGGTGACTTTTTGTCACTGTGTCCAGACAGAAATGAGAAGAGAGAGAGAGAAAGAGAGAGAGAGAGAGAGAGAGAGAGAGAGAGAGAGAG